GAGATGAAGCTGAACATCTCCTACCCTGCCAATGGCAGCCAGAAGCTAATCGAGATCGAAGATGAGCGTAAGCTCCGCGACTTCATGGAGAAGCGAGTACGTTTTCCGCTTTCCGTTCCGGTCCCGCCCTTCTTTTCGACGCTTGATAGTAGCGAACACTTCGATGAGACGAGAGAACAATTACGGTCCTTACGCCCACAAGTCTGAATAGAAATACTTTTCTGACAGGCTTGTACGACCTTCTCAACGTCGAATCACAAAATACTACAACATCAAATAAGTGCGAATTGGGTTGCTAACGTGGTGGTGCTATCAGATGGGCCAGGAAGTCCCCGGCGACAACCTCGGCGACGAGTTCAAGGGCTACATCTTCCGCATCACCGGTGGAAACGACAAGCAGGGTTTCCCCATGAAGCAGGGTGTCCTGCACCCTACCCGTGTCCGACTTCTCCTTTCCGAAGGCCACTCCTGCTACCGACCCCGCCGTACCGGTGAGCGCAAGAGAAAGTCGGTCCGTGGCTGCATCGTCGGCATGGACCTGGCTGTCCTTGCCCTCTCCATCGTCAAGCAGGGCGAGAGCGAGCTCCCCGGCCTCACCGACGTCGTCCACCCCAAGCGCCTCGGTCCCAAGCGTGCCACCAAGATCCGCCGCTTCTTCGGCCTCAGCAAGGATGACGATGTAAGTAGCACTACAACACTCGTCATCACCTACTCGGTCGTTGCTTCTACGGGATGAGAGAGAAGAATCCCTGGCAATGTAACCACCGAAGTAGAGTCTGAGAGGACAAACATATAAAATATGGGATTCCGGGATGGCTAATATGTTGGGGTTTCCCATTGTATCGAATAGGTCCGAAAGTACGTTATCCGACGTGAGGTCCAGCCCAAGGGCGAGGGCAAGAAGCCTTACACCAAGGCTCCCCGTATCCAGAGACTCGTCACTCCCCAACGTCTCCAGCACAAGCGTCACCGCATTGCGCTCAAGCGCCGCCAGGCCGAGAAAGTCAAGGATGAGGCCGTATGTCTTCCAACCCTACAAAGTACTTAATTCCGTGATTGGCTTACTGACAAATTTCTTTACAGGCCGAGTATGCCCTGGTTTTGGCCAAGCGTGTCGCCGAGGCCCGCTCCTCCAAGGCTGATGCCCGTAAGAGAAGGGCAAGCTCCATGCGCAAGTAGATGCTTCCAGGCGTTCGGTCGGTGTCTTCTGGTTGTTGCGTTTCGGCATGAAAATCATGGCTATGGCAGGCATTGCGGGATAGCCACGAGTGGCTTTAGATAGGCCAACCAATGGCTTTAGTGTATTCCCCGGAGGCCTCAAAAAAAATGAAACGAGATTAAGATTCCCAACAAAGCATTTTGACTTTTTAATAATTCGCAATAATTCGTAAATTTTCTCTTTATTTGTCCTCGTCTATCTCAATAAGGGTATTCCGACAAACCAAACGCCACGATGAGATCTGCTAGTTTGAATTTACTAGCATATGCAAAACATGCTCACACACGTAACACAATCCCGACCTCAAATCTCGCCGTAGATGCATGCATCTCTTTGTATGTCAAGACAGTTCATCGCGTCCCCGAAACCTATGTGTTTTGAGGTCATCTATATGCAATCATACCAGCGCAGTTTGTGCAGATAGTCCCTATACCATTAACGCCAAGTAAAACCCAGGAGGATGCCACAAGAGACAATTTCTATCGCAAACATCTCCTATCCACATATCTTTTTTTCTGTTCCAGGGTTGCCAAATCACTTGCACAAATATCCCCAACTCCTACTAAGCGGGAGCATGATTGAACAAGAAACTGCAACCTTGTTAGTCAACCCATTGGATGAATAAGGGGCAGGCGGAATAGTGGCTTACCTGACACTCTCTCCGTTGTGTGTTCGTCGAATAGCCTCGGCCAGTGTTGGGCTTACGTCAATAACACGCAGCTTGCTGCACCGGTCCACCTTGTCGCCGAGGGGGACTGTGTTGGTGACGACGATTTGACTCAAACAGCTCTCATTAAGAATGTTGATCGCATCGCCGCTCAAAATTCCATGGGTGACAATGGCGATGACCTCGGCAGCGCCGTGGTCCTTGACTGTCTTAGCGGCCTTTGCTAAGGTTCCGCAGGTATCTGCCATGTCATCGACAAGGATCGCGACCTTGTCTACCACGTCTCCGACGAGCACCATGCGTCCGACAACGTTGGGTCGGGGGCGCTCCTTATGAATAAGGGCAAAACCTCGGTCTAAGCGGTCGGCGATAGCAGTAGCTCTACACGAAGAAAAATCCCATTAGCCTTACGACCTCCATGACCACCCACCCCAAATTTCACTTACCGTTTGGCGCCACCAGCGTCTGGACTGACGATGACAACATCTTCAGTGCCCCTGTTCTCACGAATCCAACGTAGAACGCTAGGCTCGGCATAGAGATTGTCCACAGGGACGTTGAAGAAACCCTGGATCTGAGACGCATGCAAGTCCATGGTGATGACGTGGTTACAGCCAGCCGTCTGTAACATGTTCGCAATGAGCTTAGCAGAGATGGGAGCACGGCTCTTGTCCTTCTTGTCTTGACGCGCATACGGGAAATTGGGGATGACAGCGGTGATTCGTCGTGCAGAGGCGGTTCGACAAGCGTGGATCATGATCAGAAGCTCCATCAGGCCATCGTTAATATCGCCTGGCGCAGTGGACTGCAGAATGAAGACTAGAAGAACATATTGGGTCAGAATGGTGCTTTGGGTTCAAGGTGTGGTTCAATCGATCTGCAAAGAACGGGAGCATGCCGTACCATCTTCGTCGCGAACAGATTCACCAATTGTGACACTCGTCTCCTGATTGGAGTAATTGAGGCTGAGGGTCTTTGCGACCTCAATGCCCAGCCTATTCGTAGGACTCTCATTAGCGAGTGTTGCGATCGATCTAGTGCAATTGTGGCTGGTTGCGCAAATCAAACAAAAATTGGGTACTGGTTGGTGTATATGTTGGGCATGCCGATAATAATCGCCATGCACGGCGTCACGCAGGAGAACAAGAGATGCAATTTTCTGCAGCGGGTACAGAACAAGGGAAGAATTCCAAGAAATAAGAAAGTAACAAGTAAAGATAAGAAGCAACGCAATCAATCAGCTTACCGGTCGGCAACCATGCTCGCCAGCACCGGGTGGCTGTTTCCCGAGAGCAGCTTGATCTCGTTCGCCATGTCGCCCATTATGACCAAAAGAAGGAGGGAAGGCCGTGCGAGGCAATTGGGAACCGATGCTTTTATATAAAGCCAAATGCAGACAGACTTCAGCTGAGCAGAGAATGCTACCGCCGGAACCTAGTTGGTTGGGGGAACAAAAAAGAGCGAGGAAAAAAAAAGTGAGCTGTCTCAGTGACTACACGTGGGAAACAGTCCAATCGGCTTGAATCGGTCGTGGGATTCGCGGGGTGCACCTAGATTGGATTGCGACACTGCGGAACTGACGTGATGTAGGTATACCTCGAGTACAAGATCTACAAAAGCGACAAGATGGGCAGCGACGATTGATGTTGATGCAGCACAGCTGGATACAAAAAGCAAAAAGGTTTGAGCTAAGTAGCCAGTCAGGACTTGACCATACTAAGTAGTGTAGTTACCACAAACCGAGTTCAAGCTTACAATGGGCTTTCAGCGGGTCGATGAGGGATCAATATACCTGAGCTACCTAGGTAATATATGTACTACAACGCCTGTATTTGCGTATCTATGGGATGTACCTACCTACCAATATTTTAACGATTGCCGGGTTACAGTGGTAGTGATGGCATGGTATGCATGGGCAGTGGGGAAGCCGATGCATGTGAAATCACCAAATCCGGCTAGACAGACTGCCTGCCCATTGGTAGAAAAAAAAAAAAAAGTTAACTTACGCTTACATACAGCCAGTCATTGCTTCCTGTCACAGTAACAAATAAGACTTATTGAGAGCTCTTGAACCCTATTGATTTAAAATTCAAAATCCCTTCATATCAGGAGGAGGTAGATAAATAGTGCAGAAGCTAACCAATTGCTGATGCTACTATTTATAACAACCTTGAAGTAACATCCGCTCGGTAGAACGTTGTGCATAGGTCGGTCAGTTACATTGGACCGTTAGGGCTACACCTATGTACACGTTATATACCTGCGTGTTACATAGTCATTAAGTTTTCTTCTGTTTTTTCTGTTATCTTTGTGTTTGTTTGCTATAAATAATAGCATGACTAGGTAGTTAACTTGTTCAGCAAATATTCTATTGCACGAACCAATCACATTCCCTCTCAAGGACACGTTGATTATTTCTAGCCAACAAACACCACTCTATTATTCAACAACTCCCATTGTGTGGGACGCTGTATAGCTCACCTTGATAATGGTTTCTGGGTATTCTATAGCCACTACCTATATCTTATCATGAATATGTACTATATTTTGGGGTGTTGATGGTTAAAAATGGGCTACTTTACTCACATGTCAAATATCTTAGTTGTCTTATGGTTATATATCCTAAGATATCCTGTAGAGACCCTTGCTCGTCTAGGATTCCTCTTGCAGGTTCTTCAGGAGCACTGAGCGGGTTACCTTAGAAGAGCCGCATAAAGCCGCGTTTAATAGAATATCAAAACTCTCTAGACAGTCAAGGGAGCTGGGCATCTAGGAGCCCAGTAGGACATGTGTTGTAGCCTCGCTTGGGGAATCCTTATTCGCAGGCCTATATCTTAGCAAGTGATGGGTGTGGGTGACCTAGATCGCCGTTACCTGCGTTACCCTAAGATCGGTCGTCTGTCCAATCCATCCTAGCTTCATATATATCACCATTGAAGATAAAATGCCGGTAGAGACAGATTCGAAGGGGGGTTGGGTTAGTGTGCAGTGCTCCCTCTATAGAGGTGGTGCAAAAAACACTCCAAATTCAAGTGAGCAGATTCAGACAAAAAAAACAAAAAACAAAAAACAGAAAAGAATTCATCATATAAGGAAGTCATGGAAAAATGAGACGGGCTTGGCCGGGACTTGAACCCGGGACCTCTCGCAAGCAGCTGTAGGAGTTGTCCTAAGCAACAATCATAGGGTGTACCCTAAGCGAGAATCATACCGCTAGACCACCAAGCCTCGGAATCGGACCCGTTCCTTGTCTGTGACGGCACGGCTCACTATCGTGAGATCTCAAGCTCCATGCGGCATGGATGTGGAATCGGTTCTCATTAGCGGCGAGTAGCTAAGCGGAGTAGAATCAGGGCCTATAGAATTACTGTAACGTAATTGCATTCATTCCAGTTGGATTTGTGGTTTCTAGATCTGCTAATACTCCCGGTAAGGTTCCGTATTAAGGCGTTACGCCAACGCGTAAGACTGATTTAAAAAGACGTGTTTTGGTATGGCAAAGCAAGGTGACATGGCAGCCTCATAGCATGACTGAAGCGATTGAATCCCTTGGAGGCATACTTTCACGGATCACGCAATTTGGTTACGCAAGGAATTATAATCATTGTAACCTAGATGTTTTTTCTTTTTCTCTGAACCATGTGAAAATGGGTTGCGCGAGTTCGAGATGCCGGAAGAAGATAAAATCCTGTGCATTTTCTGTCCAATAGAAGTGAAGAAACTGAAACTCCCTGGTCCATTGTAACGCACAGACCACAGCTTAAATGAAGCCACCCCCAGCCAATCTTTCTCCACACACATCCGGGGCGGCTCGCTAATTCGCCAACCGTTATTTCTCAACTTCATCATCAACCACACTTCACATCATACGAGCAACTGCAGCTTCACCCAGGAACCACGAGCCAGTATCAATTCGTCTTTATAGTTTACCCACGTGAAAGAGCACTACGAGCGGTAACAACGCTTTTCTAAGCTATCATTTTGCTCCCTAGACGACCTGAGTCTCCGCGCGCGCATTCGTACAAGTGCATCATCGCGACTTACAACCCCGGAAACCCGCATCTTCCTCGGCAAGACCTCTCTAACCAACTCCCAATTCGCATCATCCAGCAACGCAACATCTCTCCATCACCAGAAAATTTAGCGCCAACGTCGCGCTTTTCATCCCGAGAAACTCCCATTTACACCTCATCACTACCACGCACACAATGGCGAGCGCACCAACAGAGAACGAGCAAGTCCCATCGGGCAGCGCGCCGCAGAACGAAGAGCAGCATCCGGTACCGGTAGAGGTCAAGCTAGCGAACAAGAAAGACACCTCGCTCAAGGAATTTCTATCTAAGATGGATGACTACGCGCCCATCGTAAGCCTCCTCCCCCCCCTCCCCCCTCCCTTATCCCGGCTTATTCCCGCTCTCCCTTTCTTAGTTAGGAGATATGATCTAACCAATGCATCTCCCCTAAAGATCCCAGATGCCGTAACAAACTACTACATGACAAAGGCCGGTCTGCCCCCACCGCCACACACAGACCCCCGTCTCGCGCGCCTGATCGCGCTCGCCGTTCAGAAGTTCGTCGCCGACGTCGCCGCCGACGCGTACCAGTACAGTCGGATCCGGGCGTCCAACACAAGCGCCAACAACCCGATGGGCAACCTCGGCGCGGCCGCCGGCATCACGGTGCCGGGACAAGCACCCGCCGGCGGCAAAGACCAGGGACGAGGCGCGCCGTTGGGAATCCAGAGAGCCGGGTATGGTGGTGGTGGACAGGGCGGCAGTCAGAACCGCACCGTCCTCACCATGGAGGACCTCGGCATGGCCGTCGGCGAGTACGGCGTTAACGTTAAGCGTAGCGAGTTCTACCGGTAGACAGGAGTCATCACTGCCTGTAGCACAGCTACTATACCCATCCCATCCCATCCCAGGTTCTATACCTCACCGAGGGAATTGCGCCGTTGCAAGTTGGGGTTTCCATCATACGTTTTACTACAAGAGGCATAGCTCAATCACGGTCTAGAGAGAGGGCGTACGGCGTTCAGGGCTTACAAAGTGCATACTACATTATATAGCGGCTGGCTAAAGCATTGGTCGGGACCGCACCGGAAGGCGGGGATTGCATAATTCACACGAATTGTTTCCATTGTATAAAACTTCAAACTAAGGTTTCTCGTCTCGATGCCTCACGCGGACAAAGCCTACCCAAATGAAATGATATACCAAAATTACCTGAGTCTGTAGTCTTATGTGTCATTTTACATTTTGGATTTGGTGTGATGTACATTTCAGAAGCGCGACAGACAACCACTCCCCTCCTATCGCGATATCGCTTCTAGTGCCTGATACTAAGACGCCGTTAGGTATGCTGTACATTTTCTTCCTCTCGCCTCTCCCTCCTATCCATTCTATCTATCCGCAATCATAGAATCGTATTCATCTGTAGGCTAACCCGCTTATTTAGCTCGAGCCCAGACGAAGGGCTTCCTTGTTCTGTCATACAAAGACAAGTTAGCTTAGCGCACCTAAATAAATTCACGATAGCAAAAGAAAGATAGAAGAATTGAAGAGTTGGATTTAAGGGGAAGGGGGGAGGAGAGGGGATAGTCTACGTACGGAGAAAACTCGCCCAGCTTGTGTCCGACCATATCCTCGGTGATGGTCACGTCGTGGTACACCTTGCCATTGTAGACCTGGAACTTGAGACCCACGAAGTTGGGCAGGATGGTGGCGGCGCGCGCTTGTGTTCTGATGGGCTTTATCCTCTCGCCAGGCTTTGGACGTGTGATGGGGAGACTGCGTTGCGTTAGAATCTTGGTCTTTGAATTTTTGTTATATATCGGTTGGCTATTCTGGGCTGGTAGAAAGGCAGACTCGAGGAGTTTTTTTTTTCTCTTCGCTCGCTTGAGGTCTCGTATATATCTACTATTTATCTATTCGAGGGAAAAGGATTTGGAGTTGCCTTACGGGACGATATGCGGACCTGGTTTAGAACGAATGGCCATGGTTAGTACAGAACTATAGATGTAGATGGATTCTTTGCGTGTTGATAGATGATGATGATGACGGAAAAGAGGCTCACCTTTCCACACGGATCGGCCCTTGAGCAGACACCGCGTGGGCTGCATCTTGTTGGGCTATGCGACAATGGTGTCGTGAGATTAGGTATTTGATGCTTCCTTCTTCAAGCCGGATAAGCTAATGATCGCGAGGCCGCACCTCAATTTCCACCTTATCGCATTAGAGAGTTGCTTCTTCATCTTTTGTTAACGGACCGACAAATTAATTTGACGGCTCGGCAGCACCTGGAGCGGGAACTGGGGCTAAACTCCCCGGGACGGTCCCACAATTCCATGCGACAGGGATCCCCTGATCCACGTACCTACCTATAGCTACGGGTCTACTTAGCAGGTGCTGTATCTTACTATAGACAGAGCTCTGTAGCAATGTAACGTACCTGGCTCGCCTGGACATCCATCTCGATATGCGAATTCCCGTTTATCCCCCTGGTGGCTTATTATTGCCTATATGTTGAATGCCTTTCTGTCAAGGTCCCTATACGTGAATTCGTCTCCCAGGAACGCACTCTCCGGCTTGGGTTTTTCTTGCTACCGACGTACGGAGCGCAAATCCCCGCACCCCCTCAAAAGAGCCATGATGGTCTCTGAGGTTTAATATTGAACGCCGCCAGCGTTGGCTAGACTGCTTGGTTATGCAGCTAGTCTTGCCTCGCTAGTTCATCATCGTACTTAGGTTGACGGGATCTGTTTTCACATTTCCGTGCTTACAGACGATGTGTAAACTGTTGTTTGAAACGAATAGCTTTTTAGGTACCGAAACTTCGTTGATGGCGAAGACAACATTCAACATCTGTGAACGAAGAGCCAAGATATCGGTATTGATATGTATGTATGAAGGCCCACTGGCTATGAAAATAAAGGGTCTTGGCTGGTTTTCGTGGAGCTATAGGACCCGCCTTAGCATTCGATTTACCGGTATATCACGAGCACTATTACGAGAACCGTGGGGTTCCATCATGAGGCTCGTCGGCACGATCACAGATCAATCCATCTTGGCAATGGCTCCCGACATTCTATTCGGCGCTGGATGCTGCCTCTTAGGTACTATGGGCTTCCCTGCCCTTATGCGAGGCGGAGCTAAGACCTCCGCCTGAAGCCCTTTCGTTTCGTTTCGTTTCCTTTGTACCTACTCAGCTGTGAACTTTTGTAAGACCTATAAGCGCAAGTGATCCCATGAGGCGTTCTATATAATGCCTCGCTCGTCATACGACGACCAGGCATCTTACCCTAGGCATCTCGTAAAGTTCCCACCATTTAGCCATCATGAAGTTCGTCGAGGTCCTCGTCACAGCGGCTACGATTGCCAGCGCAGTCGCCGTGCCTGCCAAAAAGCGAGCGAGCAAGTTCCAGTTCGTCGGCGTCAACGAGTCTGGTGCTGAGTTTGGCAACACGGCTTTGCCCGGTAGATTGGGGAAGGACTACACATGGCCAGACCAGAATGCCGTCAACGTAGGTTTTCTATAGAGTTCTATATCGGAGGCGACGATGCTAATGTTACTCATCTGCTCAGACTATGATCGGCAAGGGGATGAATACTTTCAGAGTTCCCATTATGATGTTCGTAAATTCGACGTGTGAGGACGATACTTAGTGCTAAGATATGAACAGGGAGCGCTTCATCCCCAACCAGATGACCGGAACTGTAAACGCTACGTATGCTGAGGGTCTTGACACTGTAAAGCTTCCTCTGTTTCTAAAGTGAAATTTGTTTATACTAACCTTACTGTCTAGATTGTCAACTACATCACTGGAAAGTCAGTCTTCATATCTAGCAGACTCACAACTCTGGCGGACAGCAGGCCTCATGCGCATACCATAAACTAACTTGTTTCTATAGGGGTGCCTATGCCATCATCGACCCGCACAACTTCGGACGATACTACAGCAATGTCATCACGGATGTAAACGGATTCGGATCATGGTGGTCGACGATGGCGAAACGGTACGCATCCAACAGCAAAGTCATATTTGACACGAACAACGAGTTCCATGACGAGGACAACACGCTCGTCGCGAACCTCAACCAGAAGGCTATCGATGCTATTCGAGTCGCTGGTGCTACCTCGCAGTATATCTTCGTCGAAGGAAACTCGTGGACTGGCGCGTGGCATTGGGTAAGAAACGACCTCCTGACACCCCTCCCATTTCCAGTACC